TTAGTTTAGCAAATAGTTACTGGTTACTAATAGGCAGTCATATAGATGCACAAAAGTTACTTAATTGATTTCTCTTATTATGCTAATTAATTAGTTTAATTAGCTTATATCAACTTCGACTTTTCTTTTTGTGTATTATAAGTATCGTTAAAGAACTATTTTAGTAAATAAATAAACGATGTGCATATAAATTTAAAACATAATTTTCTATTTTACTTTTGTTAAATCATTAAAAAATAGTAATATACGAATATATGCCAATTATACTATTAGTACTGCCCTCGTTTATAATTTGATTGTCAGCTTACAAATTATTAATATTTTTTATACAAATTGCAACAAAAATTTCAATTTATTATTATAGTTTAAATTTTTTTTTTTTTTGAAATTTTGGTGGTAGTATATAATTTTGATTTAAGGTGGTCGAGCATATCTGTAGCATGTTTTGGTCTAATTGTGGGCTGCGCCATTGGGGCTAATGCTGCAGTTACGGCTGCAACTGCTAGAAACCGAGATAAGCATCACATTTAAGGCGAATGAATTTTAAAAGGCGCGTTCGCTATGTGCACTTAATGTAGCTCTCCAGTTATAAAAAAAGATACTCAACAAAAAACATAACCTACGTACATACAAACAAGACACATATTCATATAAAAAATTATTTCATTTTTAGCCAAACACAAACTGACAAAAAAAACTGCTTTAATAATAATGAAATTCCTCAACGTCAACGAGTGGGTTAAGAACTGCACTAACACCTTCAAATGCTTACGAAAGCAAATGATAGTGACAATTATACAAAGGGCTTTAGAAGAGCAAAATGTACATAAATGCCTTTCACTATTAATGTGAACAATCTCCAATGTATAAAAAAAAACAAAACCAAAAAAGTGTGCTGTCGAAACGGGAAACAAACTGAAGGAAGTGTTGTGTTATGTTTTGACCGAACATTATGCGCAATTACGCACAGGTGCGAAGGCGACAGCTACTTGTGACCTCCAAACAGTGTGATATGCGTGCTGGCTTCAATATGTAGTGGCTGTTGTTATTATGGCTGTAGTGGTTGTTGTAGTTGTATAATTGTGTAGTTCATTAAAAACTACACAACAAGTGTTTTCTGTTAGTGTTAGCTTAACAGAAAATATATTTTGTGCCTTTTAGCAATGTGAAATTTGACTGATTTACTTTCAATTTTCGATTCTGAATTCTTTTAATAAACACAAATACAACAAAAGCCAACAAAAAACACAAATATTTTTAAATGATCTTGTCTTTTTAAAACAATTACATCCATTTAGCAAAATTGTCATAAATCGATTGTTGAAATGGTTGTGCTTTGATCTTTAAAATTGCGGAAATATCTTTAATGAACAACAACAAAATGTCGTCACTGAGCGGAAGTGACAGTTTTGCTGATATACGGAATTATTAAATTACAAATAAATTATATTAAATGCATAATTAATTTAAATTTTATAAATTAATTTCACGCAATATTACTGCACTTTGTTTATATTAAAATTAATATTTGTGTCATTCGCACAGAAGCCAAAGACCTATGCAGCTCTCAGGTGGCATAATTTGTGAGAATTAATTGTGGTGCATTAATTTTTGATGCGTGCTACACTTGATGAATTCTACAGATTGAAAATTGGATGACATATTTTGGGAATGATTTAACATTTAATTTGGTATTTACAAATTTTACATACAGTTTTTATATTTGGAAATTTAAAATTCCTGATATTTTATTTTAAAATTTATCCTGATATTTATTTTTATTATTTGTGACCAAAAATATTATATATTAATTTATTAGCGGGCTAATTGGTCATTTAAATACAAATAAAGAAACTATACTTTATTATTCATATTTAAAAAACAATTTATATTTTTTGAAAATATTTTTCCAATATTTCGAATATCTTCGATAGTCATCTTCAGGGAAACTGGAAAATTTCTATAAATATTGGGAATGAATTGGTTTCAGCACCTTTTTAATAGCATCAAAACTTAAACCCAGTAAACTATGCTAAAACTATTATTAAAGCTAATTTTAATTCTCAGTTATTCTCAAATGTGGCATATGCAATTGAGCAGAGGATGTACGAGTATAACATTATGAGACCTTATAATTTCTAAAATTCTTAACAGGTCTAAAAAAAACTATATGTACAAGTCAGTACAATTCGACCTTTGAATATTACTGACTTTTATAGTCAGTCAATAAAATGAATACAGTAATATTGTAGGAAACGAATTAGAAGATAAGAGACTCCTAATCGGAAAAATTTAAAGTCGATACTGCAACAAGAGTTGTTACTTCAACTAAAGTCGATAATGTGTGAACTGGTTAGGAATATTGTTAAACTAATCATGACTGTTCCTGGCATAGAGATCTGCGATAGGACAGATCGCCTGAACATGGAACTTGGCGTCGGTAGAAAATTCGAAGTCGTCATTCCCGATCGATTGGATTGGGATAATGGCACTCCTGGAGTAGAACCAAAAGTAATTTCATGGTAGTGGATTAAGTTGATCTACAACTAGGTCTCTGATTGATAAATGGTTTTCAGCCGAGAGAAGTCGCTACTAGCATGACATTATAGGTAACCGTCAGGCTAAAGAGCTGGTTCATCCTTACAGTTATGATAAGGTATCCTTCTGGACCAGGAAGAAATCACTGGGTCGAGAACTATTCTCCTCTTCTGACATTAGGAGGTCCTCAACGGCTGATATTCTGGCTTTCATTCGGAAGGCGGAATGTCTTCTGTACGGTTAGGGTCTGTTGCAGTACAAAAGATCAACCGTGGTCGCAGTGCTCCGCTCCATTGGGAGCTGGTACTCCGTTTATTCCTATTCCTAATAGATTAAAAACATGTTCCTGGTCACACAAACATTAGCCGCGGCCATGCTTTGGACAACCCTGCTTTAGAAAGTAAATGAGCAATTGATATTAGGAAATACTTTGAACAAACTCTTTATATTAATCCTTTTTTTCGTTTTATCTCCACCTCTCTTTTCCATCTCTCTTTTTTGCCTCCCTCTTTTTCTCTTTCTCCTTCTCTTTTTCAACTATACTTTAATTTATGATTGTCATGATAAGTAGTCTTAGATTGAAGAATATTTGTCTGTCCATCCCGGTTTCAAAAGTTCTAATAAAATTTAAATTATTGTAAAATATCTGAATAAAATATCTTTACTACCACACAGTACAGAATCGGTTGTAAGTGGTGAACGTGATCTGATGGTTTATTTCTAATTGCATATAATTATAGATTCATCTCATCTTAAAAAGATAATATAACAATAATAATAAGATATAATAATAATAATAATAAAACTCAATTTTGCACTTTTAAATACCATAATTACGATGTATCACTCACACATTGAGTTGGAAATGAAAAAAAAGAAGATTGGTATTTTTATGATGATCACATAGATTGTTTCCTTTAGGAATTTATTGTAAGGTCGTCTCTAGATCGTCTTTCGTACACGCCTTGAATTTAAGTCACTTCTACACTTCAAGGTCGTCAATTACTGTTTAATTACTCTTGTCTCTTTTTGCATTATAATTGCATCTGGTGATTAACATCTTTCTTCTATGGGCAGGGAATTGGGCCAACATTCCAATTAAAATCGCTTGTTAAATTACTCAAATTACAAATAAAAGCTGAAAACATGGATAATGACTTTAATTTTGAAGTACACATTACATACGTACATACATACGTACATTACTCATTAATGCATTTCAGTTTATTGTTTTTGTTTTTGTATTTGCATTTGTGCTTTGTTGTTGTTGGTCATTAGACGTTATGTTGTCTAAAGCCGTTGCATTAAAGCCGGCAACACTTAAAAATATTCAAAATCGCTGTTAAAAGCACGCGACCAAGTCGCGCACTCATTTGAGCCGAGTTTCTAACACAAATTCTTATGTGAGCCGCGCCTCACTTGTTTGTTGCATGCGGCAACAGTGTTTACACACACATACACACACACACACACACACATATATATATATTATTAGTTTATTTTAATATATTTTTTTTTTTGAATTTTTAATATTATTAAATTATTTAATTTTGCTTTTTTTGAATCTATTTTATTCTTTTTTTGTTTTTTTTTTTGCAGGTTAGCGATTTTTTGATATTGTTTACATTCGCATGCAATTTGCGCAATATTGTCCATGCTCACGTCCTCCCATACTCCCATACTCCCAGTTTGCTCTTTTTACCAAGTTTAGCTCGAATTGTGTTTTTTGTTGTTGTTGTTGTTGTTGTATACAACGTCCATTTGATGTTTTGTTAGTTTATCAGTTGGCTTTTATTTTTGTTATTGTTATTGTTTTTGTTTTTGTTGCACCACCAAAGTGATGCAGTGGTGGTAGTTTGTTATGTTTAGCATATTTCGCAGACATATTTCGTTAGTACCATAACTATGTATGCATGTGTGTATTTGTTGTTGTTGTAGTTGTGCTCGCGTAATTGCCGATTTGGTTGTTGTTCTTGTTGTTGTTGGAAAAGTATGTTTTCGTTTAATACGAATATAATACCTATGTACATGCAATGCAGTGAAAGGTTATACCAATAGCATACGGAGTCAGTTAGCCAAATTGTACTCCAATTTTATTTGTTTATTATTTGACTTTTGTTGTTGTTGTTGTTGTTGTTGTTAGTTTTGTTTATTTTAAGACAAGTCTTGTTACATTTTCTTTGTTTTTTATTTTTATTTTTTATTTTTGAGTAGATTAGTTGCTGTTACCAATACGCTTGCTGTTACTAACATTGACGTGTAGTGAATTCGATTGCCACTGTTATTATTGATGTTGTTTGCATTGTAGCGTGCATTTATTTATGCTTTATGGCTTTATGTATGTTATTACAATTGTAGTATGTGTTGTTGTTGTTGTTGTTACTGTTGTTAAGCATTTATGGCGCATAAAGTTCAACCAATTTTTTAGTATAAAAGTTGGCATAATTTTGTTGTCCAAATCAGAATCAAAACCAAAACCGTACGTTGAACACATTTCGAGTTAAGTTTCGAATACTTCATTTCTTTTCTTTTAAATCCTTCTTCAAAACACAAAAACAAATCAACATGAAGGTATACAAAAGAATTATTTGTTAAAATTTTTTAAATTCAAATTAATAAAAAAAAATTTAATTTCAGTTCGTTGTTGCCGTAGTCATGTTGGCTCTTGCCGTCGGTGTCCAATCTTCACTCTTGGCTCCAATATCCATTGTTACATCGGCCGTGCATCCAGGTGGTGCCTGGGGACATGGTGGTGCTTGGGGACATGGTGGTGCTTGGGGACATGGTGGTGCCTGGGGCTGGGGCGGTCATGGTGCACCAGCTGCCGTAGCTGTTCATGCTGCTCCAGCAGCTGTTGCTGTGCACGCTGGTACAGCATGGGGTCATTCCGGTCATGGCTGGGCTGGTGTGCCCGGTATTGCGTTGGCTCAAGGTCCAGCGCATGGACATATTGCTGCTGCTGCTCCATTAGCACTTGCGCATGGTCATGGTCATGGTCATGATGGTGTTTATGTAGCTAAAACCCGTGGTGCTGTGCATACCGCTCCATTGGCTGGCCACATTAGCTCTGCTACATCTCTTAATGTTGCACCAGCTCCAGGCACGCATTAAGTACAACCAGTATAATTCATTGTGATATGACGACTCATCAATGCAACAATCTCTTGACGACACCGTACGCCAAATGAAGATGCGATTACATTACTCTCCATTCTACTTCTCCAAACATGTGCAACATTTTAATTACATAAAATATATATATATTTCTATATAAGGAAAATCTATTTAAACTTACTGTTCCCTTTAATTCTATACTTTTCGTGTTCGCTGTCACGCCCACCGCACACACTTATACGCACCAACAATATTTAAGTTTTTATTAACAGTGTTTAAGTCCAACAACAACAACAATTTCAACAATTACGAGTACATCAGCAACAAATGTAACAACAACAACTGAAATCTTTATCTGTGAGAACTATACAATTTCTATTCTATGCTCTATTCATCGCTTTTTCAACTTTTATCAATATCTTTCTATCTATCTATAGCTCTATCTTTCACTCTTACACACTCTCTCTCTCTCTCTCTTCCTCTCTCTCTTTCTCTCTTCCTATAGTTATACTCTGTTTTTCAATTTACTTTTCTTTTCATTATTTTGTACTAGACATAAGTTTTCTCTAACTCTTAAAGTATTTCTCTATCTTTCTTTGTTCTAAAAATTATTCTAGAATTTTAGAAGATTGTGTTTTTTTAGTTCGTAACTGCAACAATTGTAAAATTGAACAAATATAAAATAAATAAAAATTTTAACATTTTTATTTGTTTTAAAAAAAAAGTTTTATTTTAAATTCGAATAAGAAAGCAATAACTCAACGGCCCAGACAGTTCTAACATTGGGTTTTGGTTCCAAGGTTGCAATTTTGTCACGTCTAGCCTACTGTGAAAGTTCATTATTAGAGGGCGCTGAACACAATAACAGAACATAAAGTTAGGTCGTTTTCAGTACATAAATGTAACTTAATGTGACAAGACAGTATTGCATAAGATACACAAACATATTAATATAATATTTCTATGTTTTAAAATAGCTAAATAGTTAGCTAAATAGTCTATCCTTAATACATCAAAATTGAAGCGAAATGAAAACATGTTACTGAGAGGATAGGAAAATATAAGATATATCTTTAGTCAACGTGGATCTGCCGAAATGTAAAAAAATTGATTGAAGTTCAATCATAATGCTTATGTTGCGAAAATTTCATATACGATAAAAATGTTGCATGATTGTTGTATATAACAGATCTATTGAAATCCTGCAAAAAACATACTACAAAACTTACATCAGTAAGTTCTCAGTATTACGTTCCTAGATTAGGTTCTATACATAAAAAGGAATATCTAAATCATGCAACGAAATGCCTCTACAAACAGAATAGTATTGAAATTTAACAATTAAGAAATAAAAAAAATATAATTAATTAATTCAATTATTACAGCTGGTTTATGATTTTGCTCTAATACAAACACAGCAAGTAAATTTGTTAGCAAAACTACAACAGAAATTAACAAAAACTCCAGAAAAATGGGCTTTGGGTCAGTTGGTTAAGGAATGCTGATTCTCAGCTTCACATTTGGCAGGACCCAAATCCGATTCTTGGTACTTGCAGTCTCAAAAATAATTATTTAAGAATAATTAAATACAATGTCTCCAAAATAATATATAGCAAAATATAAAACAAAGGTAAACAAATATTGCACTCTTTCCGTTCAGCTAAAAAAGCAAATATTTTATATCAAATTCGCAAGCAAAAGCAATAATAGAAAAACAAACACAAGGCGTTTTTAGCCTCTTGATCGGGTTAATGTTTTTAGAAACCAATTTTTCAAAGCTCAGTCTTGTATTTAGTCTTAAGTCTTGATTATACTGTAAACCATTTTAGGATAACTACCGAGATAATACTATTGATACTACTGAAAGCTACCTAACATCATTTAGCAAAAGATTATTATCATACTGCAGTGTTACCCGAAGATTCTGTAACATTCTACAAAAATCTATATAAATCAATCATAGATTGTTATTTCGTGGCTAAACTGCTCTCTTGATGTTGGAATAATTTTTGAATGATAATTTCTATTGACAAAAAGTGAACACTCACTTATATATTGTAGGTATATACATGTCTATATATGATAGCTTATCTATACAAAATAGTATAGGTTAGTTGGTAAAATGTGATTGGCCTTTATATTATACAATTGCTTGAAAAGATCAAGAATATAGAAAATACACTAACAAAGTTTTAAAGGGATGAATCAATAAAAAATACCAATGGTCCAGTGACATGAAATGTGGTTTCTGTTAATATTCCTTTTTTTAAGTGCATCTATCCTACATTCGTGTTATAAAAAATAATTGAAAAAGCCTCAAGTCCAAGTATAATCTCCAAGTCGTCCTCTTTTTTTACTATTTTCTATAAAAAAATAAAACAATTATAACAATCAACAAACGGATATTTAGATATCAGCATTCGTGTGGTATTAAATTTCAATGAAATACAAAAACTTTTATATATAATACAACTTATAATGTATTATATAATGTATTATAATGTATTAAGATAATATTGTAACATATGTAAAATTAAAAAAATAATTTTTTAGAATAAAAAAAAAAAGTGCCCCGGGTTGGAAAGAGTGCTTCAACTGAGTGTTGCCCGTCGAGTTGAATCACGCCTGCTCTACCTACTGAGCTACCGAGGCTGTACGTTCAGCACAAACTAAACTTCATTTAAGTTAAATTTTTTAAATAATTCCACATGAGAATTATAAATCAATTTTTATTGATGATATACATATACATATATACCACGTTTAAGTTGGCCTTGACTAATTACTTCAATTTTCGACACACATACATTCACACAAATGATTTGTGTAAGAATGCGTACACATTCGTTTGTCTGTAAGGAACAGAAATAGTTTTGTCTCTTTTTCTCTTAACCCTTTACAAATAAGTGTAAAAATGGTGTGAACGAAAGGAGCTTCGTAGACCGCATAAAGAATATACATTCTTAATCAGCTCAACGAACTGAGTTAATTTAGCCCAGTGCGCCAGTGCGCCAGTGCGCCAGTTCGTCTGTCCGGCTCTCTGTTTTATAGAAAAATACTCTCTTAGTTTTTGAGTTATTCGAATAAAACTTTGCACATATGAAAACTTTTTGGGAATGGATTCCGATTATTAATCGGATTGACCAAAATCGGTCCACTATATCCTATAGCGTCATATAAGCTTAAGCTGAACAATCGAATGTGAGATTTGACTTTTATCGCTTCCAACAGTTCAGAGACCACAGATGCAATAAATCTAAATATTGAGAAGACTTTTAACACATTAATGTATATATTATTTTACAACCTCTCAAGGTTTGGATGTTTTTAATATGATAAACCCAAGTATATCAACTTATATTTTAGAAATAAGAATAAACTTGACTATTTTTCTTCACTAAAATCAATGTCCTAGCGTTACCACAAATACTATCTATTGCAATCAAGACGTAATAAGTACTGTACTATGTAGTGACCTCTTCTATACAAATGGGTTAATAGAACAACAGGATACAGGGAAATGCTTAATACTCTTCAGAGTTCTTCACTATTTATTTATACTTTCTTTTTTCAGAAGTTAGTTAACGTTTTTATTACGTTTGAATTATGACGTCCATTAAAAAGATATCTAGTATTATTAGCTGGATTTTATTATATATATTTTAAAGTTTGGGTTTTATTGCAATACAATTCATTTTTCACTTTCATTTGCATTAAAAATTAATTTGAATTAATTAATTTTCTTAATGCCTCAGTTGATTGGCACTAATTATTGATTTAATAATTATATTAATTTTTTTAATTTCTTGGTTCATTTCTGTATGATCTGTTAGTTGTTCGCAAAAGGTGCTATGTTTTGCAGGTGGGAGCAGTCAGTTCAGTCATCAAATCAATGTCAAATTTGCATTTCAATCGGTCTAAGACATTATCATCATGATTAAGCAGAAATGAAATAAATGCATTAATTTTAATAAATTTTTGTTTTACGAGTATTCTACAAGTAGACTCAATTTATTTAAAATTGTTAATACTATTTTAATGAATTTCTTAAAGTGTATGCACACTGAGGACACATTAAATAAATGCTGTCTTATTGGTCTTGAGATTATTCATAAACTGATATTAAATAAGGTAATTTTAAATGAGATCTGCTTCCCTTGCTCCACAGATGGTATGAATATTTTTTTGATTTTTTCCAGTATTTATCACCTGTAAGAGAACAGTCATCAAAGAATAGTAATAGAGTTTTCAGCATTTCTTAATCATAACATAACCGAATGTTACATCAAAGGGTTAAATTCAAATCTTTATTGACCACCAATAGTCACCAATGATCACCTTATAACTGTCTGTTAGTTAACAGATGACAGCAATGTTAGTAGAATGAAATCATATTCAAATACACACCAAGGTATATTTAACTTTCTGATCGCGAAAAGTTTTTAATTATAAAACTTATAGTGAATCATAAAAAAGTGAAGTGCTATTGAAATGAAACCCTTTAAAAATGAAAAAAAAACCCTTTGAAAGAAACTTTAAAATAGATATAATAAAATCCAGCCAATAATACTAGATATCTTTTCAATGAACGTCATAATTCAAACGTAATAAAAACATTAATTGACTTCTGAAAAAAGAAAGTATAGATAAATAGTGAAGAACTCTGAAGAGTATTAACCATTTCCCTGTATCCAGATATTTTTTAGTAGATGTATAGATGTAACACACTATTTCATTCGACTGATGCTTAAAAAATCCTTCCTGTGTATTATAATATTGTCAACTTGTTTGATATAATTCATTTCGCAAAGTCACGGGAAAAAAGTCCGCTAAATGGTATTTCTAGTGTATTAAAGTCATACAGTCATACAATATAAAAGATCTTACCGATATCTTATTCTCAAATACAACCATTATGCTGCCTCATTTTCATCTTTCCAAACCATATAACAAGGAACAGGTAGGATAACTAACTTATAGAGTAAAAAGTTTATCAATTGAAAGCGAACTCTGCAAGGTAATAGATATTCACTATAACTGTACATTTACAAACCTCATCAAAAAAATATAGACTTACTTTGATTGCACAGAAAACACGAAGATGTATGTTGTTCTATTAACCCATTTGTATAGAAGAGATCATTACATAGTACAGTACTTATTACGTCTTGATTGCAATAGATAGTATTTGTGGTAACGCTAGGACATTGATTTTAGTGAAGAAAAATAGTCAAGTTTATTCTTATTTCTAAAATATAAGTTGATATACTTGGGTTTATCATATTAAAAACATCCAAACCTTGAGAGGTTGTAAAATAATATATACATTAATGTGTTAAAAGTCTTCTCAATATTTAGATTTATTGCATCTGTGGTCTCTGAACTGTTGGAAGCGATAAAAGTCAAATCTCACATTCGATTGTTCAGCTTAAGCTTATATGACGCTATAGGATATAGTGGACCGATTTTGGTCAATCCGATTAATAATCGGAATCCATTCCCAAAAAGTTTTCATATGTGCAAAGTTTTATTCGAATAACTCAAAAACTAAGAGAGTATTTTTCTATAAAACAGAGAGCCGGACAGACGAACTGGCGCACTGGCGCACTGGCGCACTGGGCTAAATTAACTCAGTTCGTTGAGCTGATTAAGAATGTATATTCTTTATGCGGTCTACGAAGCTCCTTTCGTTCACACCATTTTTACACTTATTTGTAAAGGGTTAAGAGAAAAAGAGACAAAACTATTTCTGTTCCTTACAGACAAACGAATGTGTACGCATTCTTACACAAATCATTTGTGTGAATGTATGTGTGTCGAAAATTGAAGTAATTAGTCAAGGCCAACTTAAACGTGGTATATATGTATATGTATATCATCAATAAAAATTGATTTATAATTCTCATGTGGAATTATTTAAAAAATTTAACTTAAATGAAGTTTAGTTTGTGCTGAACGTACAGCCTCGGTAGCTCAGTAGGTAGAGCAGGCGTGATTCAACTCGACGGGCAACACTCAGTTGAAGCACTCTTTCCAACCCGGGGCACTTTTTTTTTTTATTCTAAAAAATTATTTTTTTAATTTTACATATGTTACAATATTATCTTAATACATTATAATACATTATATAATACATTATAAGTTGTATTATATATAAAAGTTTTTGTATTTCATTGAAATTTAATACCACACGAATGCTGATATCTAAATATCCGTTTGTTGATTGTTATAATTGTTTTATTTTTTTATAGAAAATAGTAAAAAAAGAGGACGACTTGGAGATTATACTTGGACTTGAGGCTTTTTCAATTATTTTTTATAACACGAATGTAGGATAGATGCACTTAAAAAAAGGAATATTAACAGAAACCACATTTCATGTCACTGGACCATTGGTATTTTTTATTGATTCATCCCTTTAAAACTTTGTTAGTGTATTTTCTATATTCTTGATCTTTTCAAGCAATTGTATAATATAAAGGCCAATCACATTTTACCAACTAACCTATACTATTTTGTATAGATAAGCTATCATATATAGACATGTATATACCTACAATATATAAGTGAGTGTTCACTTTTTGTCAATAGAAATTATCATTCAAAAATTATTCCAACATCAAGAGAGCAGTTTAGCCACGAAATAACAATCTATGATTGATTTATATAGATTTTTGTAGAATGTTACAGAATCTTCGGGTAACACTGCAGTATGATAATAATCTTTTGCTAAATGATGTTAGGTAGCTTTCAGTAGTATCAATAGTATTATCTCGGTAGTTATCCTAAAATGGTTTACAGTATAATCAAGACTAAACACTAGTTATCCTAAAATGGAAATTTTTTGTTTTTTTGTCTTTCTCTCCTTCTCAATTTCTCAGTTTACAATGAAAATAACAGAAATTGTATATTGGACATGACCATGATTCTGTATGAATCATGCCGGAAACGATTGGGTAAAACTTAAAAATATGGTTTCCACCAAATTCCATCATCTTTTTGACAGAATGAAGTGATGTTTAGAAATTTATTGCTTTATTTTGAAAATACTTATTCCTTTCCTACTAATTCCTAATTTAATTTAAATTAAATACACTAAATCGAAATAAAGATTTTTTAAATATTATTTAAAAAAAAATATTTATTTATAATAATATTGTTTACATTATTAAATTATAATAAATAGAGCAACGCAAATAGATGGCAATCTGTTTTATCTACTGTAGATGACATTAGATGTATTATCAAACGACCAACAGAGTTACCGGAACTGTAAATTATTTTTACTTTGGGTTGGGCTCGTAATAAAATTTATAATGTTTTATTAGCATAAATCCATATGTATATATTTAAACATACATAGTATATTTATGTATTTGCAAGTTCATATATATATTTACTGGTAATTACATGTTTTGTGTGAACGCAGGCGTCATTTACTCGTTTGTCAATGAATTTGTCATACCGCGAAAGCGCAATGTAAGTATGAGGTTGGTTTCAAAAGTTTTGTCGGCGTTGCCACCCTTTGGATGCACGCTATATTAATATATATTAACATCGAATATAATAACTCAACAGTCCTTTAAAAGGTGCCTACGCTGATTTCATATGTTATAAGAATTAATGAAATCACACAATAAGTTTAGATCTAGTTTGCGGTATATTTCATTCATCTTTATTCATCTATCGTTATATTATTTAGTCAAGCATTTAATCTTAATTTTTGAGAATTGTTTGATTCAATGCACCTCGCGCTACCAATACAGGTACATAGATAATAGGAGTTTTTATAAGGCAGTCATTTAGTTGCTTTGTTTAGAATAGGAAGCATTACAAACACAAAATTCTGGACAAGATTCTGTGTATCTGAAAACCTTAACTTATTGTAAACTATTTCGCAACAAAATTTGAGATTCTCTTATTTCTACCGCATTAAGAACAGACGGAAGATATTTAATGGTAATGTTAAAGACTAATCTTCTGGACGTACATATAGAAGAGCTGCTCTCACTTTAATTCGTAAGCTTATTTTATAATTTTATAAACTTTGTAAGTTCAGTATGTGCCATTACAGTATATTGGGTCATTGTACAAAAAGTTTAGATAAAATTTTCAAAAATTGATGAAAAAAATTGATGGATAGTTATATATATCATTTGCTGTGCTTGTGCCCAGCTCATACCTATGGCAGATTTACTTATCTAGGATCGTGTTTCTCTATCGGACTGAAACAATTTTAAAACTTTTTCGAAAACTCGAAATATTGTTCCAATGAAGAATCTATAGTATATACAACATGTGAATGATTCAGAGAGCTGTTTAATCTATTCAGAGAGTAAAAATAAAAATGGCTACACCACTTTACTTTGAAGTTAAAACGTCAGTCGACCCATGAAAGCCGGTTAATGCAAAGACCAAAGACTGAGAGTACTGGCTACTGGGTTATTTTGGGACACACATGGTATAATTTTCATACCTTGTAAACGGAAGAGCTATTAATAGCGGAAATTATATGCAGTTATTGGTGCCCCAAAGTAATTAAAAGTCTCAAATGAAGAGCAGAAAGTTATACGTCATCAAGACAATATACCGCAACGAAATTACATGAGCTATACTTTGAATCAGAACCGCATCTGCCGTATTTACCACATTTGGCGACCAATGCTTGTTATCTGATCTGATTTCATCTGAAAGACCGTAAAAAATGTTTCAGGAGGAAAAAATCGTTGTAGGAGAATGCGAGGGAGATGTGCTCCATATACCGCCACACAGAGCAACGATTGCTTGATGTTTTGGAAATGCAAATAGGCACTACTGCTGCCAGTACGGCTACAGCAACATTCTGAAAACCAAACAATATTAATTCAAAATACTTCAGTTAATGTATTCAGAAGCGGTCAAACATGTTAACAGAGTTCAAGTCCAGAGCAAGTTTAGAATTCCATAACCAGTAAGAGCAACTTCACTTCTGAGCGTAAAGCTTAGCTTCCAACGCTAATGGTATTTGACGGGCAATTGGCGGGTGTCATATCGCTATCATGCCATATGGAGTGATTCTTTTAGAACAGCGTGGCTTAATTTTCAATAACCGTTATTAAAGCAAGTCAATTCCAATCAAGTCAAGTTGGTATATTAGTAGTTAAGTTCCATTGTTGTGGTGTTAATAATGAAACGTAAGCGACTTCAGGTTCTATTTTTGTAAGAAAAAACTATTTTTGCACCTAGTGCCATTAACGCGCTATATTTGCTTGATTATGTATTCTTGTGACCTGATCTAGTTGGAATTCACTCTCACTTTTATTGTTGGCCATTTTAAACGGCACAAATGCATTCTTGGATGCCAACCTCTTAGTTATCTAGCCATTTAAATACAATTTTCATTATTATTAGTTTAGTGATTTAGTGCTATAAAAATGCCAGCAAATCGGTGATTAAGAACAGAATAGAACAAAAGTTCAACACGTTAAGAACACATTCAGTACTTTGTGATCTCCGTATCGTTTTAATACAAATCAAACAGAAAAAAAATGAAAGTAAGTAGAATTTATTTTTAATTCTAATGTAGATAAATCCTGCACAAAATCGAAAAGTCCTATTTTTTATAATACTATTCTCCTCTCGACAGTTGTCTCGTTTTTCTTTCTGCAATAAGTAATACATTCTATTGAATAGGAAATAGAGAAAGAAAAAGAGAGGAAGAGAAAGTGAATGAGATATACATATATTATATATACATATATTATATATACATAAAGATATATATAAGGAGTGATACCAAAAGAGAGAGATATGACAGTCATTAATGTGTTGAATTTTTTTTTTCTCCTATGCAGTTCTTCATCGCAGCTGTTTTCACTTTGGCCCTCGCTATGGGTGCACAATCCTCACTCATTCCATTGGCGCATACTGAAATTGCCGGACATGGACTCTCCTACACTGCCGTTCAACATCCAGCGATCATTGCCGTGCCAGCTGCCATCCCCGCTGCCATAGCCGTACATGCCGCTCCAGCCGCTATTGCCGTTCATGCTGCTCCAGCAATCGTGCATACCGCTGCTGTTGTAGTACCAGCTGTTCATGAAGGAAGCTACATCGCTAAAACTCGTGGTGCCATTCATCATGCTCCTTTAGCCGGACATATTAGCTCAGCTGCTGCTATCAATGTAGCTCCAGCTCCTGGAACACATTAAATTAGTTGCAACAAATTAAACAAAAAAAAAAAATTACAAAAAAAAAACTTATATGTAAGGATAGCAGGTTGATGACATTGTTTTGAACTGTTCACACCGACTTAGAATAAATTGCATCACTTAGACAAAACTATAAAATCGTCAAATAATTTTTTTCAATTTTTGTTGTGAAAATGTAGCAAAAACTGCCTAAGAAGCCAAAAAAAAAATTAAAAAAAAAAAATAAAAAGTATATATGTAAAAGATTAAAACATGTATAGGTTTATTTAAGGTAACAAGTATTTATTTAGAATCCTCGTCCTTCTTCTTCTCATACATACTAACACAGCAAATAATCGTCTCTACTTCGACTGAAAAATGTAGTTAAAGTAATATTTTGTTTGCTTCCTTTGTCATTTTATTCTGCAAATATTTTCACAGGAACTTATGGAAAGGAAAATAACAAATAATTGATTTTTTTACTCTTAAATATGGGAGGGGAGAAAATATTTTATATTATTGGACACTTCCCAAACACCCTAGATAGAGTAGGTAAGAAGTGCTACGAGACTGATTCATCAAATGGAAAGGTTCTTGGCACATCCTTAATATATAGCGATTGAGAGGAATAAGGAATAACGTAAATAAGTCTCTCAATGCACTCCATTATTTCTTATTGTATTTTGCTATGGCTCATTTCCGTATCTTACAAGGCTTACATGTCTATAAGGAGTTGCTATTTTGCTTCCGAATGCTTCCGAATAAGTTTGATTGGTTTTATAACAAATGGAAGTAAATTAGCAGGAGCATTGTTGAAAGCATTGGTATTCAAATTGAGTGGGTTTAACTTAAAGAAATAGAGGTAAAAAAGTTTAAGTTAAATCTAGGTATAGGTATAGGTAATCTAAGTAAAATATATATTGGATCCAGAGAATCCCATATCCGTCACTATCAGCATTATTTTGAATTCTATGATTATTGCGAAAACTATTTCAAACTGTAAATATATTTACAAACACTAAACACTAAAGTTAAATGGCATACTTTCAGCTTCAATGATGGGAACAGTTTTTATCAGACACCTTGCAGGCATACCTTCTGCTCAAAAAGTGCTCGGATTTTGTAAATAAAACACACAAATTTAAATTTTATTCCAAATTTATTTTATCTCCTTCAAAATAGCTCCTTCTAAAGCGATACACATATACCAACGCTTAACCCAATCTTCCATACACTTTTCGTAGGCCCGTTAAGGTATGGCTTTTAGTTCCTTCAGCGAATTCTCTTTTACCGATTCAATCGACTCAAAACGCTTACCACGAAGGAGCAATTAGAGTTTTGGGAACAGGAAAAAGTTGCACTGATCCAGATCTAGCGAATATAGTGGTTGAGCGATGACAGTGGTGCCGTGTTTGGTCAAAAAATCGCGTACAACAAGAATTTTCTTAAAAAGTCTATTACTTGAAGAGTAGTTAACAAACAACAAAATCCGGATACTTTTTGAGCAGAAGTTATGTGCTATTCCAGAAAGCAATAGTGCTTTCCAATAAAATATGTTATACTATCGTCGAAAAAAACATTTCTAATTTAACTCGATTAAATGTTAAAACTGTTAAGCAATTTAACTATTTCAGTTTTTCAAGTTCTAAAGACTCTTTTGATTTAATATAAAACTAATGGAGTTAATATTTTCTTTTTCAGATTATTATTAGTACGAACGAGCAATAGAGATATAGATTAAAATGATGTGAGATCATTTTACTTTGCACCCGAAATCATTGATATCAAGAATACAGATCAAGTGATCTTAGAAAATAATGCACAAAATCAGCAGGAACAGATAGGAAAGATATTTACTGATACTTTGAATAAAGGTTTTGCTTTCTGGATAAACTATTTTTAGTAGCCTTTGCTGATCATAGTTAAACTAATGTCGCATGTGTTTTTGTTTTGGTACTTAGCCTAATATAACATTAACAAAATAACTTATAAAGTGTTTCAATTATAGGATTAATACTTTTCATCTCCACATACATCTAAATATATTTATAACTGCATTCAAGTAAGTATTACATAGGGAATAGTTATCCATCTAGTATGGTGGTGTACCATACTAATTAATTAATTAATTAATTAATTATTAATCGCACTATCGATTAATATTTTATAGAATGATTTTATTTAAACATTAAATCATTCTTGAATCAGAAATATTAGCTATATTGAAACGCACAAATTAATTCGATCTGAATTAGTTCACTCTTTGTTCATGTATCCGATAATACACCTCGAGAATTAGTCATCGCCGACTTTGCTGATACTACACGTACTTAAATCCGTCCCATACAAACATGCATGATTTAGGTAACGATGTTAAACATATAAAATTTTATTTAATATTTTTTAAAAAATATTTTTTTAAATTTTTTTAAACAATAATTATAATATGCAATAAGTATATTAATATAATAACATAACCACAAAAATATTATGAAATGAGTCGTGTTTATAACATGAGTATTAACTTACGCTTTAACGCTGACTTGCACAAAAATATACTTACATATTTATTGCAGTAAACAAATACAAGATTACACTGCATGTCACAAGTATTTGGACAAATTCAATTTTATTATAGATTACTTCTATAATTTTATGATCCGCAGAAATTCATAAAAGAAGACATAGAGTCATCCATCCAACATTTCAACTTAACTACGCAGCTTGTCCTTCTTTGTGAACTCTTATGTCGATGTAATATGTAATATTATGTTATCAATTATTTTAACGGCCTAATAGATTACATATCCCAGTTCAAAATAGTCAATTAATGTGTGCTTTTTCGAAATTTTTGAACGAAATAAAAAAAGGACTTTATTTGTTGAAGATACTTGATGATTTTTTTTATATAATTTAGCCAATTTAGCTAGTCGTAGCTCGACAAGCACCTCTAAAGTTAAGTTATATAACTAAGTTAGATAACAGAGAATTAGATTGCCTTGGGTCTCGCATACTCTCATATTTATTGAATATATGAATATGAATGCACTTTTTATTGTTATATTGTTATTTACTTAATTGCACTTAAATGAACACATATTGAAAGGTTTTTCATCATAGTATCTTTGCAAAGACTATTGTTGCGTTAACAGCTAAACTAGATCAATATTATAACTGTCGTATGCGTTATCATTTTTTATATTTGTTTCTGTATACTTTTTAGTACTATCCAAATCAATGACATCCATATACTCGTATGTTGAAGTGTGATGCTTATACTTAATATATATTCAACCATTTACCTTTTTAAAACAGAAGAATTTTTGAATTTTCATGATTGTATGGAGTTACAGATCGCCTCATGTCATTTTTTTATTTAGAACTAATGGCCCTACTTTATAGAATTATTGGGTTTTAGTTGTGCACAATGTATATGGGTGGTGAAGTCAATGTTTTGTTTTATGGCTAACGTTGTAGCCGATGATGCCATATTAAGATGCATCAAAACTTCCAATCCAAGGTTTCAAAAACCTTAAAAAAGTGCTCAAAAACTGTCTGTGAAAAGTTTTCATATTTGGCATAACGTACTGTATCTTCTTTTTTGTTTATTTTCAACATTTTTAATAGTTAGTAGAAATCAAATCAGGTGTCAATTCTTTCGGTATCGGGACATACTAGCATACGCGTAAACGACAGGTTGCCTTGGCTTAAAGACCTACTCTAAATTCAGAAGGGAGCACAGTTGCAGTGCCACATCCACTAACAATAATAATAATAGTTATTCAAAACAAGTTGTCTCAATTTTTTGGTTTCGCACTGTATATACACCAAACTGCATCAACTGAATATATATGTATATATATGTATATAGGTAGATAGATTCATATATATTTCCTCACATAGAGTTTTTTTTTACAATTTTGTCATTGTTAATTAATACTTTAAAACGCATATGATTAATTACAAAAACAACTGTTTTGATGTTTTAAGTATGATTAATTGTATTTAAATTATTTTATTAGTATTTCATTTTTATTTTTTTATTTATTTCTTTTCTTCGTTGAAAATTAAAAATAAATATTTAAAAACTTTATAAACGATCAAATTTTCCCATGTATACAATACAAGGCAAATCCATATCCAGAAACGCCTCGCCATATAAACACCGACCACTGACCATCTATATGGTTACGAGTTTATATAAGGAAAACTCCATCGAGTGCATGGAAAAATTTTCCTTTCAATTAAGATTTTCAAACGAACTAAAGAAAAAAAAAATTACAAACGATTTCCATTTTAATGCGTAGACTTGCAATAAATGTGTTGACCCCCAGCAAACGCCTGCCGCCAACTGTGATGCCAGTAGGAAATTTCATGAAAATGCTGCGGAATTGGCTGAGCGCAAGTGGTAACGTTGTTCTACGTTTTACACGATAATGCATTCTTAAACATAATTTGGTTTTATTATAATTAAATTCTAATATTTTTACAAAACTAACAACAATAATAAACTCACAAAAAGAATAAAAGAAATTTAGCTGAAATTGATAAAATTCATAAATTAAGTTCATAGAGAAATTTTTATGAACAGCGTTGAAAATATTATAAAAATCTATAACTATTATCTTTGTCCCATCAAAATATTTATAAAGACACTGTAATCTTCAATATGTCATTTCATTCAAAAAGTGTTTTATTTTATTTTTATATTTTTATATTTTATATTGATATGATTTTAGCAATAGAACACTAAAGAGAATCAAAATGCTTCATTGTACAGGATATATGCGTGTGCCGTTTGCTTACTTACATACAAGCTAATTGGAAGTTCATGCATTTATTTTTATACGTTTCTGGAACTGTTCACACGACTAAAACCCAGTGGGCAGGTGTACGCAATACAATAGTAACATACGTCAGATCATCAAAGGATGAGACACGTAGCATTATCAACAACGATGGAATGACTCGATGAAAGGGAGGTGGACACATACTCTGATCCCACGTCTTGATATGTGGGTACACAGGACGCATGGTGAAATGGATTTCCATCTCACTCAGATCCGAACCGGACATAGAGTCTTTAATCACCATCTTCATCGCTTCAAGCATGAAGAGGATATGTTTTGCCCCAGCTGTGAAGTGGTCGTTGAGGATGC